AAATACCAAAGGCGCGGCGCACCCCGGGCCGCACCATGCGCCTCGGTAGTGGAAATTTGCGAAAATTCAAAACACGAAAGTTGTAGATCTTTCAAATAGCTTTCCAACGATATATTGTGGAGCCCAAACGGAGTTCTGAGCAAAAAGTTATATGCATTTTACTAGATAATGCGCCGTATGCCCGCTCGATTCTCCGTTTCGTTCTTAACTATCATCCGTTGATCCCCGAACACGATTCCGACTTGATTTCTTGGGCTTTTACTCAGACTTTAAAGCTCTAAATCACTTAAATTCATTCCATAATATCTACATAACTCGGAATCACTCCTACAACGCATAAAACACATATTTAGTGCAAAACACTAGCGATTAAAGCTCAAACTCAATTAAAGTAAAGTAAATTAGAGTGTAATAAGCGCCTAAAATACGTAATTATAGCCTATCATCAACTGTATATTCTAATACAGTATACAGCAGTGGCGGATCTACATATCGAATTTGGGGGCTTACGCACCCATTGACTTTGGCAAAGAGTGTGTGTAATTATATTAAAAATTTAACGAAATGAATATAACAAATCAGCGAGCACCCAGGTAAAAAAAGTTTGGTAGGTGCTATGGTCAAAAGAAGGTGCTAAGAGCATAGAAATAGGGGTGTGCATGGACAGGATTGGTTCGATTTCTATCAAAATCAAACCAAACCAACTATATCGGTTTGGATTGGTTCTATTTTGTCGGGTTTTGTCTGGTTTTCGTTTTTTTGGTTACATGAATATTATATCAATCTTACTTTGTTAAAATTTTAATAAGTATATGTTTAGTGGCAATTGAAAAAATTAATCAACATATTATCTATTAAAATATTCTTATGGGAGAATTTTCTTAGTAACACATAATAGTTATCTTTTTGTCGTCTCACAGTAATATTTCCTTGATGTACACTTTTAAGGTTAACCGAATTTAATAATCAAATATAAAATTAATATGACACCTAAATTATGTTCTATTTAATTTTAAAATTATCAAAATACCTCTTCAAATTCAAAAAAGATATACGAATTTAATAGATCTTGATATATGAATATGGAAGAACGAAGAGATTGACACATTTCAATAACACTTGATAAGAAAGTGATCATACAACCTATTATTTAAAGTTAATAAAAATGGAGCACTTTATATTCTATTAAATATTACATCCCATAAGAGAATCTCAAATATTTCTAGACATTTTTTAAAGAAAATTCTATATAAAGTCTTAAAAGTAATATAAAAAATATATATTTATATGTCGGTTTGGTTTGGATTTTTAACTCATACCAAACCAAATCAAACCTAATGAATTTTTTAATCGATTTGGTTTGACTTTTCGATTTAGTGCAATTTTCCTGTTTGATTTGCACACCCCTGCCGAGAAGGCTATGAAAGTTGGCATTGAGAGTTAGATTCTCACTTCTAACAGGTCCTTTTTAATAGGCATTTTCCTTGTATATCGTCAAGCTTCTTTCTTTTGCCTTCCAATTAGGTCTACTTTTTTTTTTTTTTCTTTCACTAGCCACTATCTTGATCTAATACCACTTCTTTTTTCATTTTTTCGGTTGACTTTTGTTTTAACTCTTTTTGTTTAAAATTTTTTCTACTTTATTTTATTCACTATAACAAAGAAAGAAAAATCGAAAGTTTTTCACTTGTGAGATTACATTGAGTTTTTTGTTGTTGTAAAGAAAAACAAAATCTACTTAAAAATGGACTCCAAAGATCGTTTGAAGACGAAGAGATCCTCTAAAGCGGTAAAACCCACCAATATTTTTCTCTTTTGTTGCCTTATCCATCATAATTTTGCGGCGTCCTTAATATTAAATTTATGAGTTTTCTTATTAATTATTTTATCATCATATTCAATACTTGTGTACTTATACAATATGATTGATAGTACTTTACATCAAAAATGTTAAGCACCCACACAAACCAAAAATCTTGGATCTGCCAATGATATATAGTAAATGATTTTCTACAACGCTATTTTTCCTATTTCCTGCTCTCGAGTTAAATCATTTATGTTACGTATTTTGCAATCACTGTAAAAAAAATGCTTCTACTTTACTTAATTATCGAAGTGAATTGAACTTTTATATATTCCCATTCTGAGACATGCTTTCATGTTATGTTTAATGTACCCTCGCATGGACCAGCGAGTTCATGGAGTACCACATGAGTTGAGAGCATAATCATGGAAAATTAAAGGTGAAAAACTACAATGGAACTTATCATGATATCTCGTCATTGACATAATGGTGTCTCTTCAATAATAATGCCTAATGATGTTCCATCGATGACAATTGTAGTAATTATTACGATTGCCAACATTAGGAGCAAATTTTTTCTACTTAATATTTTTTTTTTGTTGGCTAAAAAATATATCACTATGTATAACAAAAAATAAAGACAGCTAACTAAATAAGTTTGCTTCAGCACTTCACCATATGTACCTATAAATTTATTTGAAAAATTGGCATTCTATAACAACCCATAATAGGAATTGGCAATTTTTAGCCTTTATATTAAAAAAAATTGAAAGGAAAAAAAAGAAAAACAGGCCGAAGAAGAAAAAGAAACCGACAACTCGACATTTATGGGCTGGTGCTGGAGCAGTCAATGCTAGGGGAAAGTGCACGGTTAGCCACTAATAACACATGTATTTACTTTTAAGCCACTCTTTAAAATGTCTTTAATCTTTAGCCACTGCTTCAATAAACTTTACCTGCCCGTACGAAAACACCCTTCTGCTCATAAAGTTCAGGACCAAGTGTCCTTAACTTTTGAACTTGTAACTCTAAGTTCAGGACTTCAGGACTACATGTCCTTAACTTTTGAACTTGTAACTCTAAGTTAAGAACTTCAGGACTACATGTCCTTAACTTTTGAACTTGAAACTCGATGTTCAGGACCACATGTCCTTAATTTCTGTGCTTGTAACTTTAAGTTAAGGACTACTTGTCCTTAACTTTTGAACTTATAAGTCTAAGTTCAGGTACTATTGTCCTTAACTTTTGGGCTTCTTAGCCTAAGTTCAGGACCTATTGTCCTTAACTTTTGAGCTTGTAACTGTAAGTTCAGGACCTATTGTCCTTAACTTTTGAGCTTGTTAGTCTAAGTTCAGGACCTATTGTCCTTAACTTTTGGGCTTCTTAGCCTAAGTTCAGGACCTATTGTCCTTAACTTTCGAGCTTGTTAGTCTAAGTTCAGGACTTCAGGACCTATTGTCCTTCACTTTTGAACTTGTAACTGTAAGTTCAGGACCTATTGTCCTTAACTTTTGAGCTTGTTAGTCTAAGTGGATCAAGTGTCCTTAACTTTTAAACTTGTAACTCTAGTGTCCTTAACTTTTGACGCTCAGTAAAAATGCAGTACCCGCCACGTCGTAGCTTCCTTAAATCTTTTAGTCTCTTTCATAACTCCTGCTATCTATATCTTTATTGATTAAAGCGTTAACCTATGTTATGGAGTATGTATGATAGAAATACCAACGATTACATGAAAACAAAAATGGAGAATTGACAGGATATTTTCTTGTCGGTATTTCTGATTGAAACTTTTCAATTTTTGTGATACACTGCAAAGTGATAAGTCATCTCTATCTCAAGAAACCATCTCATTAATATTGGAGACAAAGTTATTGTTTAAGACTCTTGATTTATCAACCTGCAGAATTAACTAATTCCCTGCTGACAATGAGTAAAAATTATAGGGAATTGGATAAAACCAGCTTCTGCAAATAAATGGTGAAAACAAGAAGAAAAGACCAGACTCAACGGCAACTAGTTGCACTATTTCTCATTTCGAATTCTGATCATTTTACTACTAGTACTATGGCGATTATCAATTTCCCGAATTAAACAATTATAGAGTAGAGAAACAAATGGAATGGAAAGCGGAAAAGTAGAGAACGGAGGAGTTTGCTCATCGGAAACCGTTATCGGCGGCGCAGTTCTTCTCCCTAACACATGAAAGTGATAGAAGAAAGGGTAAAACAGTCTTTTCATATTAATTTTAATAGACTAGTAGCTACTATTGCTAAACATTAAAAATGCTGGATAAAAAGTAAATACCACTTTAAAAAGTGGCTACCCCACACAATTTTTACTCAATGCTATTAAACATGTCCAAGCCCATTTATTTTGGAATTTTACAGAAATGTCCCAAATAAGTACTAACTTACCAATCTCTAGCCATTATTCATAAACTTACCAAAACTAGCAAGTACATAAAAAAAATTGAAAATCCAAATAAATAAGGTTCTTTCTCTCTAAGAGTCACACGCAAAGATCTCCTTCCATGTGTTTTAAGCGTGATCAGCTACACTAGATGCAAGACGGAAAGAAAATTTCATTGACGAGGTAGCAAACAAGGTGATGAAATACAAAAATATATATATACAAGATTTCAAAAATCTAAGCAAAAAAAGGACCTTTTTTAATGGGTATGGTTGAAATTCATTGAAGACATATAGACGAGTCAATATATAAAATTTGAGGAAGATTGGAGGTGATTTGGTATCAAAACTCGTAGTTAAAATCGAGTTTTAAAAAATTCTTCTGCAACACATGTATCACACATGTATCTCACACACAAATATACATAGATATACATGTGATACACATCTGATGCAAATATGATACACATGTGATACACAAATGATACACTTTTTTTTTTCATGTTCACCTTCTACATAGACTTTTCAATTCAAACCACCGCAAAACTCCACCAAATCATCACAAAATTGAGATTCAAGGTCTTTAAGATGTACCCAGTCTATTTTAATAACATCCACTCAAAAGAAAGCAAAAATTTGACATGTTTGGCTACAAATAACTAATTGGGTAATATATTAATAATATATGGTTAATATTAATAATATTTTATAAATTAATTAATTTTTGTAATATACTACCTATAAATGGACATAGCCGTATTTTTTTTTTTCCAAAGTATAATCCTTATGTATTTAGTAACTGCCCATCACGAAAAAAGTGAATGTCCTTAATTAGAGCTACTGGGAACTACAGTCCAATTTGTTTAATCACTATCTCTGTCTTCTTCCTCCCAATTTCTTCCCAAGGTATGTGATATTTCTTCTCTCTTTCAGTCGAAGCTCCTATTTCTATAACTAGTGATATATATCATTCTCTCAGATCATTTTATTGCAGGTGTAGAAGAGGACGCGTGGGAATTGCAATTTGCATGACGAGTGCTTCGGAGCTATTCTTCACTAGGAGGTCTCGTTACGGCCGAACCGATCCCGAATTAGGGTCCGATTCATTGCCGGGTCGAATTTCTCACCCCCACAGCATTCACAATCGCCGCCGTCATCATAACCACCAGCAAGGCGGCAATAATATCAGGCGTGATCGCCTCGATGCGAGCGGTTGTGAACCTCTGCGCCGCTCTCCTCACCGCCCTAGACGTTTCGCTCCTCCTGTAAGAATTTGGATTTTTTTATTATATGTATAATGATAATATAAAAAATTTAGGTGCTGCATTATCTGTTGTGTTGCGCTGGCATAATATATTCGATCAGAGCTCTAAATTGTGTACAGCAAGATGAGAGTTTGAGTCATAGTGGTCAACATACATATATTTAATATTAGAATTTCTAAATAGCTGAATCCAGATGTTGTTTCAGCGTATCCTTTCCTTTTTCCTTTTCCTATTAACGGTTTTTAACTCTAATTTCTTGCCTGGGTTAGTTAGATTAAGGAAAGGGGAAATGAACCAAATACGCCTCAACGGCACTGAATGTAGATAATATACAATGGTTCACCGCCTTCTCATATAATATGATATTTTCTGATGGGGGTAAGCGGTCGCTTTGACTGAAGGACTGCTGAGATTGTGTCGCAATAAAATATGTACTTTTAATTGGCATCATATGTGCCTTATCGTACTTCCCACCAATTGATGAATCCTTGCGAACACAGCATATGATGATAAATGTAACAACTAAGCTTTAATCCCAACTAACTCATATGGATTATTTGCTTTCATCTTTTGGTATTTCTTATCACAAGAGGCAATTTCTCTCTTCCCAATCAATCTCTGCGCGATTTGGCGTGGCAGTGATATAAATCCCCCATCAGATGAGTAGAGCAATGTGATATGACAGCTTATATGTAGGTGCAAGCCTGGTATTGCTTAGCTGAAATTCAGAAATAATAGCTGTTGCTTAGTGTAATTGTTCACCATTTTACACTGGATTAGCTTGATTATAAGATGCTTGTCCCGTGACGCCCGAAATATTGCTGGCTTGTGGTACTTCTCTATGTATGCGCGACATCTTTAAGTTGCTCTCTTCAATGAATCATTCATCAACTTTTATATACGTTTGGTAAATAGTATTGTATGTATGGATTATTTTAGCTCATTCATCGTGTTGTTACGATTTTAGTGCCTGACTATATTGCTCTTTGTGCGTTTTTGTGATGCCGTGTATTTTTAGTGCTGTATGTTAAATTTAATGTATTTGCTGATTCGAGGTGCAAAAAAGTGTTGAATGTGAGCTTGCAGTACTTTTTTCACCTTGTTTTACTAATAGGATTTGATTCTTGAAGGTGACCTAAAATGTTGGTGCTAATTAATATGATCTTTCACAATTTAGGAGCGCGAATCTATTTGGCTTGACTCTGGGAGTAGCCAGGGTGCTTCAGAGAACATCAGTCATGCAGAAAACGGTAACAGGATACGAGATGGGATGAGAACCTCTGGTAGTGAGCGACTCCCTGGTGCTGTACTACTTGCAAGGGAAAGGCTTTTGCAAAGGTTGAGTGGTGTAACCATATCTGGAAACAGGTTGGTGCTTTGAATCCATGAAGCCAGATGGCTTTGTTTTTTAGATAAGTAAGAATCCATGATACCCAGTAGTATGTACTTTTCTGGACTAAACCATTGCAGTTAATACTGCATGTTCAGAATTCAACCTTCAGAATTTTATCATAGATTTAACCTTTTTCATAATTTTATCATTATTTTAGAAAAAAATCAACTTGTTTGATTAAAAAAATCTCGCGTTGTTTTTTCCAAGAATACAAATGCTGAGATAGGTAAGAGTATGTTTTTACGTGGGTAAACTCATTATAAAACAGGCATGAATGTGCTTGGGTCTTGATGAACTTGAGTTCTCATCTGATTCCTAGAACCAATTTTCTTGGGTCATTAAGATATGGAAAATGAGCTAGTGTCAGAATACAAAGACTGGAGGTGAAAGTTTCCTGTAGTGAATGGACTTATAAATGGATATGATTATTATGATGTCGTGCTCCTTTTACACAGCTGCATAGTGCTTATTAAGAAGTCTTAGCTGATTTTACTGACCCTTCCTAGTCTATGTCTCTCCTTGTTTGTAGAGGTTAAAGGGCATGTTTTAGAATGTGAATTCACCAGCAGATCTTACAATCTACAGTTTTGGCTTTTGACTCCATACTGGTTTACTTGTAGGAATGATTTCTCTTAAATGTTTGTAAGTTGATTTGATGGTACTCATGATAAGATTTAAGTTATGGAAAACTTATTTAAGATAGAATCCTCCTTTCTGTTTGGCATGAGCAATTTGGCACTTGATATCATTCAAAGTTGGTCAGTCAACCTGTCTGTTTTAGGATGTGCTATGTTGGCTAAACTTGGTCCTTGCATCCTGTGTGCCACTTAGAACTTCTATGTTGAACCAAGGAAACTTTTAGTTCGCTGCTTCTTTAAAATATCTTAATGTTCACTGTCAGTTTAAGTGGAGCTTTAAAAGTATTGCGCGTGGTCTAGTTGATTGAATGTTGATATTGGCTTCTGCTAGGCGAAGTAACCGGAGCGCAACAAGCACCCATCGCAACAACGTCACATTTGAGGATGATTTTAGACTTGCCGATGCTGGTGATTGGGAAACAGATATTTCTAGGCAGTGGCTTGCTGGCACAGCCCCCGGCGCGGATTCTCTGTGGAGAGAAAAAAACAAGAGACCCCCCGGTTTGAGTCAAGAAGCCGTGGAGTTACTGCATATTGGGGTTTTCAGCAACTCAGACAAGGGAGATGAAGAAACACATGCCACGGCGGTACTTGAATGTAGCATATGTCTAGATGCTTTCCTGGAAGGAGACAAGTTAATATGTTTACCATGTGGGCATAGGTTTCACCCTTGCTGCTTGGAACCATGGGTACGGAGTTGTGGGGATTGCCCATATTGTCGAGGAGCTATACTCGTGACTTCTTGTAGAACCAAAGAAAGGTCGTGATATCCTTTTTTGATTACTTTGACTTTTTGTTGTTTGAATGGTAGTTTTCCATAAAATGAGTAGAACAGGAACGGACTTGAATAATTTATTCTATGGGTTTTTTGTTTCATTTTGATCTTACGGCCAAGAGAAGTTCTTGTACAAAGTGATGACTACTGAGATACATAACAAGGAAACTAATTGCATTCTCTTAGGGACACCATAACAGACATGTATGTTTGATACTTGCCAAGAAACTTACTTATTTGAAGAGACTAGTCAAAGTGAAATGTCCTGTTGCTTCTTTAACTTGCTAACTAGAGAAAATAAAATTTTTTATATCTTATAAATGTGGATAATTCTTACAAATATCTTATGTCCCTTAGCTTCGTGATTAAGCGGCGCCAAAATCTGTGCTAATTGTGTTATTACACTTTAATTCATTTACACTCGCATTAGAATAAACAACTATTTATACTTGGACCTGATATCCTGATATATAGTGTTTTTTCCATTCTTGATGGAATTCATCAAAGTGTTGTTTTTGAGGAATTCATCCTAAGTTTCGTGTATTTAATATCGTCATTGTTTGAATTACACAGATTCCAAGTTTACCAAAAGATTTAAGACGAGAAATATATGCGTTACTTCTACTTGTAATCACTAAGTAGGCGTTTGGACATGAATTCCAAAACTTTTTTTCAAATTTGGAATTTCATTAAAATTTGAATTGAAGATGAAGTTGTGTTTGGTTATAATTTTTGCAATATATTTGGATGTCTTTTTTTTCAAAATAATGAAATATGATTTATACCCCGCAACTTGTAAAAATATAAAAACCGTCCCAATTTGATTATCCTACTTGAAATAAACAATCAAAATGTTCTTGTTTAACTGTTATCATATTCTGCTTTACTGCAATACACAGAAGGTGCAAAATCAACTAGGACTGATGTTCCACATCAGTCGACAAAGATGTGCCAAAGATGAAAAACTGAGGGGTTCACTTTATAAATTTTAAAAATATAGGGTAAATTGGTAAAACTAAAAACTAGCAAATTCCGACTTTCAATTGAAAAAGTGGTGAGATACCAGTTTTTCAAATTTGAAAATGGATTTTCAAGTGAAAAAGGAAAAATTGGTAAGAATGGGATAACCAAACATTGTTTTCAAAAAAAAATTGAAAAAAAGAAAAAAATTTGTATGTTCAAACGGGCTCTAAGTGCGGTTTAGAACAGGACTATAACTCTATGTCTCGTACGTCAACAGCCCATGGCCATGGCGTGATGAAAGTGCTAAACGAAGTCTTGTTATGCGATTCATTTTCTCACAAATTATGTTTTCTTTCAGATGTAAATGTGTCAGTGCTAAAACATGCGTAATTAATTGACTTTATGCACTGACCATCATGATCATGAGCCTAGAAAATTGATTCACCGCAATTGGAGTTTTCTCGTGTTTCTCGGATATATTTTGAAGAATTTTTGCAGGATAGTTGAGTGTGATTGATTGTTATTTTCTTTGAAGATTTCTCGATTTTCCTAAAACATTTTCTAGAAAGTGCTCCTAGTCAAATTTTCAGAAACTGAATTCACTGAAAATTAAAGCAAAGTTCGAAAAAAAGGTACAAACAGTATAGCCAAGCAAACTTTTCCACTCAAACTGCCGAACGACCTAAACATTCCACTACTTGTTGTACACCACGTTGGAGCTGTCTTGGAATTTTAATACATCATCAGCAAAACAACTTTGAAAAGTAGGATAAGTTGCGTTAGTCATGACTCATGAGTTGGGTTTTATTGCTCCATTTCCAAAGGGACCATTGATGATGTTGGCTTTTTTGTTTATGTAGGATTATCCCTGGAAGTAATTTAATTTTCTGTAAATAACTTAAATGTCACTTCATGAGATTTACTTAAAGCACAAAAGTTGATATTTGTATCATCACAGTATCCATTTGTTATTTTATCTCCCTATCTTTGTGTCAAAATTATATTGGTGTCGAGTTGCCTAGTTTCATGTTAGTGTATTTGTTCATATTCACATATTCGTATGAGATTCAACAAGGGAAAGAAGTAATATTCAAATTGTATTATTATTATTGAGAAATTAAAGCAATGGTCCAGATGGTTTGAAAGTGAGTGGCTTCGCCAGTTAGCAAAAGTTATTCCCTTTATTGCGGCCAACGAAATAAAAAAGGGTGAGACAATCTCATTTTCATATAGATCTTAATTAATGTATTATTCCTTCCATTTCAAGAAGATAAGTTGCAAAACGACAATTGAATTAGGTGTGGCAATTCGCGTTTGATTCGCAACATATTCATACTGGTCCTATCTAGCTAGCTCGATATGATATTTTGGGAAGTATACTAAGTTTAGACTATAGAGAGAATTCAAATTTTACTTCTCGTTCCAAGTATTATACTAGTAAAATGTGCACAAATTCACTATAATAGAAAAATAAGAATTAATTAACGACGACCAAATTTTATACTAATACTATGTAATACGAATTATCAAAAGATTCCGTTAGCTACAACTATTTAGCTATAGATTGGCAATGAATTTTGTATACATAATTTTTTTTATTGTATGCAAATTTAACTTGTGACTACACCGTCAAGATAAAGATGAAATATAATGCATGTAACTCTCTGTAAATAATTTTAGATTCCCAAAAGTGAAGTAAATTATATGCTATACATAATAAGTTAAGATGCATGCTTGCTGAGTTAATTTTATACATGGTCATTGAACTTTTGTGTTTGTTACCCAAAGGTCACTTTTCTTTTTTTGGTTACGTAAAAATTATTTAACTTTGTGTTCATTACACAAAAGTCACTTTTCTTTTTTTTTGTTACACAAAAATCATTTTACTTTGCTCTAGTTATCACAAAAGTCACATTTTTACTTGAAAAGTCTATTATGCCCTTGATATTATATAAACCTTCATATTTATGTAATATCTTCTATATTATATATTATATAATATATTTTTACTTATGTATTTTATTTATAAATAAAATAACTTAATATTAGTTTATTTATTATTTTTATAATATATATTTTAGACAAGGTGGGTTGCTCTGGTGGTGAGCACCCTCCACTTCCAACCAAGAGGTTGTGAGTTCGAGTCACCCAAAGAGCAAGGTGGGGAGTTCTTGGAGGGAAGGATGCCGGGGGTCTATTGGAAATAGCCTCTCTACCCCAGGGTAGAGGTAAGGTCCACACTACCCTCCCAGACCCCACTAATGGGATTATACTGGGTTGTTGTTGTATATTCGAATATTTAATTTTTTCTTAACGTTAATTTTCAAGATATATTAGTAGCGTTATAAAATAACTTTTTTCAGCAATTCTTTTTTAGAATTTAATTGACCGAAATTTCCGACCAACTTGGTCGGTATGCCCTTCCGGCCTTCAAAATATCGACCACACATTAATGGTAGCGTTTTGGACGGTTATTGGCCATTACCGACCAACTTTGGTTGGTTTTTCGGGACGGTTTTTCCCGAATTTCTAGTAGTGTAATTTCTCAACGAATTGCCGACCAGGTAAATCCCCAAGAAAATATCCCCAGCTAAATTCGCATGTAGAGTTACCTAGGAATTTTCCTTCAGATTAACATATGATTTTTTTCGTATTTTCTTTGTTTGTTTACCTACGAATTTTCTCACGAAAATGTACTCGCCGACTTATTTCTCTACTAATATATATTAAAGTTACTGACAAATTTAATAACGCTACTAATATATCTTGAAAATTAACGTTAAGAAAAAATTATATATACGAATATTTTGTAAAAATAATAAATAAAATAATATTAAGTCATTTTATTTATAAGTAAAATACATAGGTAAAAATATATTATATAGTATATAATATAGAAGGTATTACATAAATATGAAGGTTTATATAATATCAAGGGTATAATAGACTTTTCAAGTAAAAATATTACTTTTGTGATAACTAGAGCAAAGTAAAATAATTTTTGTGTAACAAAAGAAAGAAAAGTGACTTTTGTGTAACGAACACAAAGTTAAATGATTTTTACGTTACAAAAAAAAGAAAAGTGACTTTTGGATAACAAACCCAAAAGTTCAATGACCATGGATAAAATTAACTCCATGCTTGCTAGGAGTTGAGGGTTTATCGGAAACAACCTCTTTATTTGCACAAGGTAGTGTTTGACCAAAAGGTGTTGAGCTTTTCGTTAAACTAATTATTGATGAAGTAAAGGATGAATCTTAGTTAAATATAATAAATTCTAGATCTAATGTTGAGGGGTGTCGACTGTTCGGATAATGTCTAATGATAGTGAATATCAAATATGAGCTCCATGATTATTAATGAATGTTGAAATAATATAAACATGCAATAAATGTAATAAATGGCAATAAATGTAATAAGAGGGAGTTTATCACCCAAAGGTTATGTGACTTGGATGATTCTCCCACCCCACAGCAACGTGGAAGGATGGGATGCAAAAATGGATAATGGATCCTCGGATCTAACAAACTGAAAGTGAATAATATATGTTGAGTTCAGTAGTCAGTGAACAAGACAATAGTTGTATATTCTTCTTTTTCAACTCTTTACAAAAGTGCTCTTATCAGAGTTCCAGATCCCTTTTTTGTTCTTTATCTCTTCCTATTTATAAGGGATATTTCCCAGAAACCCTAAAAAGTACAAAATAAGGAATATCCAAAGGAATATTCCTTGTGTCCATATCTGAACCCATCCTACCGTTATTTCTTCACTTCAGCTGCCCGTCCTTGGCATCAGCCCTCTTGAGAACAGCATCCGGCTATTACACGGCGGTCGACCCCGTCCTTGGCCCCGTTTATCAACAACTACCAAGTCACCAAATTTAGACCAATACAGTTAGTCCCTCCGCTTTTGAGGTCGTGGTCCCGCACGCCCTCGATAAGCGAACCTGATTCGCCTCTGTTTAGGAGAAATTTGGTTGTGTTGAATAAGTCAGGTCGGTCGAGGTGGAGAGAACGGCGCAACCAGCGAAGTTGTGGTTGGTGTGGCTATCGTGGGGTGACGTCATGGCCACGCGCGTCATCATTACGCATCTTCCCGAGATAGCGTCTGTGTGTCTGCCGCATTAGTTGTGGTACCATTGACAATTCTTTGCTTCGATTCTCGTGCCACACAGCCCTATAAACAGATGGGGGTTTCATTTTTCAGAAGTTTTCACCATCCTTTACTTTGCATG